CCAGTTTCCACTTTCTCATCATTGTGATGCATTACTTAGATACATATATGGACATGGAGGGTGTTTTATGGGTGTGTGGCCGGTGCTCTGGTGTGGTTTGCTCCTTGTTTCCTTTCAAAAATCCATCGTCCTTATTGTTCCTCCTTTTGTGTGTACGTTACTCTCTTGTAACGTCTGTAATCGTTGACACATCTATGGCCTAATTGTGTTGAAAGTACTGTAAAACTCTCACTTAAGCTAAACTAAAAAACAGAGGATGTGGGGCTTGGTGTAACAAGGAGCTAGGAGATACTGAATAAAAGAGTATTATAGAGATGGTAAGGAAGAGCTGTGTAAAACTGCCTGTCTTTTGATAGTTTATTAAAGGGAAATGGGCCTTTTAAAAATCTGATAATAGTAGAAATATACAATGAACACACTAGATATTTTCCCCCCAAAAGAATGTTATTGGTTCATTTTTGTGACAATTTCACAGACATATCAAGTGTTTATTGTCCTTGTTTTGGTTTCCTCCAGAAATCAGCTATGATGGACAGTGTACATCGGGGTCTCCAGGGTCTGAGAACCAATGTGCTGGAGATCTTTTATGTGATGTCAACTCCAGGTGCAAGTGTTCTAACACGGAGTACTACACTGGCAACCACATGTGTGGCACAAGTAAGTAGGATACGGTGGGGGAGATGGGGGGAGGGGGGGGGGGAGGCTACACCTGGAGGCTATCTCGCTTATTACTGGACCATATTTTACCACATTTCACACATATAACAAGCATAGTAAGGAGGGGGGGGGGGCTAGCTCAAAACCTGAGTAACGGGATTCTGTTGAATGTTGAGAAAGATTTGGAGGCAGAGCAGAAGTAGAAGAAAACAAAAGAAGAGCCTTTGGAAGGCTGGGGAGGTGTTATTTAAGTCATAATATGACTTGGTGGAAAAAAGATGGAGGAAGGGGAAATGTGAGATATCAGTAGAAGACTAGGTGACTAGTTCAGTTGAAAACCTCAAAAAGTGGTGAAATCTGTATGTGTTCAATTTCAACAAGGAAAAAAAATCATAAAGGAGAGATGAACAAGAGTCCTTTTGAGACAAGCGGAGGATAAAAAGTGAGTAGGTGTGAACAAAGCAAGTTTTGATATTATGGTCAATTTTCCCTTTTTCTTCATTGTTTAGCGTGACTTACACACGTGTCCGCAATGATATTGAGGATGTGTTTTTAGGTGGCACAAGGAGTGAAGAGATCTTTAATAAAAGAAAATTGAAGAGAGGACAAGGAAAAATGGTGAAAGTTGTTTGTTTTTTTTAGTTTGGATAAGTGGGAGGGGTATATGGTGGGGAAACCCATACTGACATATAAAAGAATTAACACAATAAATATTATATCCTCAAAAGAATGTGATTGGTCAATCTTTGTGTCAGGTCAACAGAACTGTCAAGTATGTTTATTGTCCCTCTTTTGTTTTCCTCCAGAAATCGGCTATGATGGACAGTGTCCATCTGTGTCAGATAACCCATGTGATGGACAGCTTCGTTGTTTAAACTCCAAGTGCAAGTGTTTGAGCACGGACTACCATACTGGCAATAACCAGTGTGCCCGAAGTAAGTAGGACGGAGAGAGAGGAAGTTGTCCTTTAACATGTGTGAGGAAGTTGTTGACAGTTTGTTTACATCATTATCATTGAATGTACAAACTGCTGTTAGAAACCTTTTGTATGTTACTGTGTTGTTTGTTCTAGTTTTATTTCCCATTTGGTTGGTTCATTTTGTCTGTCCGTGGTCCGTTGGGACTTGATGAAGGCGGCGATGTTGTAATTGATGTTCGGCATTCATGACACTTTTCCTTACACAGGTATATAACATACATTGCTGACTTGCAGGTTCTGAACTTGATGTACTGATATCTATTCTTTCTGTTGTGATCTGTTCTTTTTTCTGATCGTAGTGACCTAGTTCAGCCTGCTAGGGGATTTTAAAAATAGTACAACTAGGTCAAAGGTTCATAATTAATATTGGATTTTGCTGACTCATCAGCACAGTTTAAATAAAGCTCCAGTTTTCAGACATATACCCAAATCTTTTAAGCAACAGCCACACTCTACCTTTGAAAGGACTCGTAGTTCTGTGTCTTAGGTATGTCACCCACCTGAAGAAGGAAATCTTTGCTGTCACTTGTCAATGTCCAGTAGGTCTGACTGCTGCTGGATAGTCATGGAGAGGTGGGTGAGTCTTGGTGCGTGGAAACAGTCACGGACAAAGTCTTAATTGTTTTTACTTTTGATGCTCTGTGGAAGTGTTCACTTTTCCCACAGTCTACGTAATGAGTCCCAAGTCGTGCACAACCCAGCAAATACAATAAACAGGAAGAAAATACCGCTGTTTGTGTGTGTTTTCAGAAACAGTAATTGATCTTGTTTTTAAAGATTTCCGATGAAAAGCTGATGGCCTAAAGGGAATGGGAGAAGTTACGAAGTTTCGATTTAAAAACATCAAAGAACGGAGAGGATAGAGCCTCTGTTTTCTTTACTTATTAAAACCCCCCAAAGTGTATCGTATTCCCTGAACACTTTTACGCTGGTGTATGATACAGATGGCCCTAGTCAAAGTAGGTATCATCACGTGCTTAGACAGAGATGTTTGGAAAGTCTTTTTCGTATTTGTTCTGTCTGGTTAGATCCCTTCAGAGAGTTTGGCAGCCATCTTCTCGCTAAACTTTCTTGTAAGAGCTGGCGACCCGCACCTCCTTCAGTCACCAACCTCTTAACTTTTAAGCAGGGGAGATGAATATTTTTTTTAATCAAAAGAAAGGCAAATGAACAGTCTTTAAGATTATACCTGTAGCTTCCTATTCTCAAAAGTCGAGGAGCGCCTGATATCATGGGGTCATGACACAAATAAATAATCCTACAGGACGTCAATTTTAACCAAGAGAAAGGATGAAAAAAGTCCCTGTGAGACAGGTAGAGGTCAAAATGTGAGTAGATGTGAGTAAAACTGGTTTTGATGTTTTGGCAAGTTTCCACTTTCTCATCATTGTGATGCATTACTTAGATACATATATGGACATGGAGGGTGTTTTATGGGTGTATGGCCGGTGCTCTGGTGTGGTTTGCTCCTTGTTTCCATTCAAAAATCCATCGTCCTTATTGTTCCTCCTTTTGTGTGTACGTTACTCTCTTGTAACGTCTGTAATCGTTGACACATCTATGGCCTAATTGTGTTGAAAGTACTGTAAAACTCTCACTAAAGCTAAACTAAAAAACAGAGGATGTGGGGCTTGGTGTAACAAGGAGCTAGGGTTACTGAATAAAAGAGTATTATAGAGAAGATAGGGAAGAGTTCAGTTAGTAACTTCCATACACGTCTCCCTTCTCGCCAATATCTGATATTGGTAGGAAGGGAAAATCATTCTGAGTTGTTGCTAAAATGTTTTTAGAAATCTATTTTCGTCCGCACATCTGACCTGGTTTCACTTACTTCTCCGTGCAACCCAAGTTCAAGGTACTATTATTTGCTGATGTAATCACCCCTGTCTCTTAAATTCATCGATGCTGCCACTATCAGAAACATCTTACTCAATCTAGCTCATCATCTGATGAATCTAGTGCCATATCAGCTGCTGCAAATGCATCTATGAAAGGAGCTGGGGGCTTTTGTTTATTCTCACCAGTGCTACATTCCATCACTTTATGCTCATTCACTGTTTCTCAGTCAAGAATAAAATACTTTTCTATTATGCTCGATCTAATTTGGAATATAACGTCCGCTATATACATCTTCCTGCTTGCAAAGTTGGATGCAAAGTGGATGAACTACTGTATTTGCATAGGATAGGACCGCTGTAAAATAAAAATTATAGAAAATGAGTTCGCTGATACAAAATAAGACATGCTGTAAATTGACACCCCCATTGTGGCTTCCATTGTAAAGAGCAAAGAGCCTCTAGAACTCACTATGTTAACATTGCTCACACCAAATTAAAATATAGCATTACAAAAAAGAAACATCAAATCTACAGAACAGACAGAAAAATACAACACCCACACACCCACACGTACAGTAATTGAAAATTTAAACACTGGAGTTAGTTGGACTGTCCATGTAGTTACAATAAGCCTGGCTGTTTGTGAATGGTGACTGTAACCAATTTTGTCTAGTGTGTGTGTAATCATTCTATTCTTATCTACTCTATTTTTTATTATGTCCCCCACGCAACACCATTTCACCCTGCCCCAGAAATCAACTATGGAGGTGGCTGTACCGTTGCTTACAGTTGTAATGGAAATCTTATGTGTTTGACCTCTGGTGGAGAAAAGAAGTGTCGGTGTCCAGCTAGCCAGTACTATTTTGGAGGCAATCAGTGTAGGAACAGTAAGTATGACTATCTAAGATTTCATTACATGTAAGAACAGTAAGTATGACTATCTAAGATTTCATTACATGTAGGAACAGTACGTATGACTGTCTAAGATTTCATTACATGTAGGAACAGTAAGTATGACTATCTAAGATTTCATTACATGTAAAAACAGTAAGTATGACTATCTAAGACTTCATTACATGTAAGAACAGTAAGTATGACTATCTAAGATTTCATTACATGTAGGAACAGTAAGTATGACTATCTAAGATTTCATTACATGTAAGAACAGTAAGTATGACTATCTAAGATTTCATTACATGTAAGAACAGTAAGTATGACTATCTAAGATTTCATTACATGTAGGAACAGTAAGTATGACTATATAAGATTTCATTACATGTAGGAACAGTAAGTATGACTATATAAGATTTCATTACATGTAGGAACAGTAAGTATGACTATTTAAGATTTCATTACATGTAGGAACAGTAAGTATGACTGTCTAAGATTTCATTACATGTAAGAACAGTAAATATGACTGTCTAAGATTTCATTACATTTAGGAACAGTAAGTATGACTACGATTCTATTACATGTAGTGGTGTTTGTGTTGTATATGTCATCTTCTGTTCCGGGAAAGTAATGTTAGCTTTCAGAGAGATTTGGACGGACCTGATTAACTTCCATGCCACGTAGTTCTACATCAGGTTTCAATTACTTTTGAGGACATCTGCTAGATAAGCCAAGGTGTGTCAGCTTTGGAGGTCAACAGGACTTTCTTGCCCTACCCCTCCTCTCACCCCCCCCCCCCCCCCCCCCAACTCCCGGTGATGTTGCTAAGGCTGAGTAAATCTCCCACATATTTGTCTTGAGACGAGCATTTTCATTACCTGCATTACCTGTCCCGAGCAACAACGTCATTGCACACCAGACAGGTCCATAAGTGCTCAGTTCCCCCAGCACCAAAGCCCGCAATGTATGTATACTGATTGTTCCGGTGGCTGTCTGATTATGGCGACGTCTTTCCTTTCCAGATAATCGTTACTTTCTTCCTTCCGACCGTTTTGATTAGCCACCGAGAGGTGGGTGAGTCTTATTGCGTGCTTACAGTCAGGGACAAAGTCTTACTTGTTGTTTTTTTTACTTTTGATGCTCTGTGGAAGTGTTCACTTTTCCCACAGTCTACGCAATGAGTCCCAAGTGGTGCACGACCCAGCCAATACAACAAACAGGAAGAACATGCTACTGTTAGTGCGTGTTTTCAGAAACAATAAATGTTCTTGCTTTTAAAGATTTCCAACGAAAAGCCGAAGGCCTAAAGAGACATGGAGAAGTCTCAAAGAGCTGATTTAAACACATCAAAGAACGGAGAGGATAGAGCTTGTGTTTTCTTTACTTATTAAAACCCCACAAAGTGTATCGTATTCCCTGAACACTTGTACGCTGGTGTGTGATACAGATGGCCCTAGTCAAAGTTGGTATCATCACGTGCTTAGACCGAGATGTCTGGAAAGTCTTTTTGGTTTTTGTTCTGTCTGGTTAGACCCGTTCAGAGATAAACAGTTTGGAAGCCATCTTCTCGTTAAACTTTCTTGTAAGAGCTGGCGACCCGCACCTCCTTCAGTCACAAACCTTTTGACTTTTAAGAAGTGGAGATGAGTATTTTTTAAATCAAAAGAAAGGCAAATGAACAGGCTTTAAGATTATACCTCTAGCTTCCTATTCTCAAAAGCTGAGGAGCGCCTGATATCATGGGGTCATGACACAAATAGTTAAACGTACAGGAGGTCTATTCTAATCAAGAGAAAGGATGAAAAAGTCCTTGTGAGACAGGTAGAGGTCAAACGGTGAGTAGGTGTGAGTAAAGCTGGTTTTGATGTTTTGCCCAGTTTCCACTTTCTCATCATTGTGATGCATTACTTAGATACATATATGGACATGGAGGGTGTTTTATGGGTGTGTGGCCGGTGCTCTGGTGTGGTTTGCTCCTTGTTTCCTTTCAAACATCCATCGTCCTTGTGTACGTTACTCTCTTGTAACGTCTGTAATCGTTGACACATCTATGGCCTAATTGTGTTGCAAGTCCTGTAAAACTCTCACTTAGGCTAAACTAAAAAACGGAGGATGTGGGGCTTGGTGTAACAAGGAGCTAGGAGATACTGAATAAAAGAGTATTATAGAGATGGTAAGGAAGAGCTGTGTAAAACTGCCTGTCTTTTGATAGTTTATTAAAGGGGAAGGGGTCTTTTTAAATTCTGATACTGGTAGAAATATACAATGAACACACTAGACATTTTTCCCCAAAAGAATGTTATTGGTTCATCTTTGTGACAAATTCACAGACATGTCAAGTGTTTATTGTCCCTGTTTTGGTTTCCTCCAGAAATCAGCTATGATGGACAGTGTACATCGGGGTCCCCAGGGTCTGAGAACCAATGTGCTGGAGATCTTTCTTGTGTCAACTCCAGGTGCAAGTGTTCTAACACGGAGTACTACACTGGCAACCACATGTGTGCCACAAGTAAGTAGGATACGGTGTGGGAGATGGGGGGAGGGGGGGCCTAGCTCAAAACCTGAGTAACGGGATTCTGTTGAATGTTGAGAAAGATTTGGAGGCAGAGCAGAAGTAGAAGAAAACAAAAGAAGAGACTTTGGAAGGTGGGGGAGGTGTTATTTAAGTCATAATATGACTTGGTGGAAAAAAGATGGAGGAAGGGGAAATGTGAGATATCAGTAGAAGACTAGGTGGACCTCAAAAAGTGGTGAAATCTGTATGTGTTCAATTTCAACAAAGAAAAAAAAATCATAAAGGAGAGATGAACATGAGTCCTTTTGAGACAAGCGGAGGATAAAAAGTGAGTAGGTGTGAACAAAGCAAGTTTTGATATTATGGTCAATTTTCCCTTTTTCTTCATTGTTTAGCGTGACTTACACACGTGTCCGCAGAGATATTGAGGATGTGTTTTTAGGTGGCACAAGGAGTGAAGAGATCTTTAGTAAAAGAAAATTGAAGAGAGGACAAGGTAAAATGTGAAAGTTGTTTGTTTTTTATAGTTTGGATAAGTGGGAGGGGTATATGGTGGGGAAACCCATACTGACATATAAAAGAATTAACACAATAAATATTATATCCTCAAAAGAATGTGATTGGTCAATCTTTGTGTCAGATTAACAGAACTGTCAAGTATGTTTATTGTCCCTCTTTTGTTTTCCTCCAGAAATCGGCTATGATGGACAGTGTCCATCTGTGTCAGATAACCCATGTGATGGACAGCTTCGTTGTTTAAACTCCAAGTGCAAGTGTTTGAGCACGGACTACCATACTGGCAATAACCAGTGTGCCCGAAGTAAGTAGGACGGAGAGAGAGGAAGTTGTCCTTTAACATGTGTGAGGAAGTTGTTGACAGTTTGTTTACATCATTATCATTGAATGTACAAACTGCTGTTAGAAACTTTTTGTATGTTACTGTGATGTTTGTTCTAGTTTTATTTCCCATTTGGTTGGTTCATTTTGTCTCTCCGTGGTCCGTTGGGACTTGATGAAGGCGGCGATGTTGTAAGAAATGTTCGGCATTCATGACACTTTTCTTTACACAGGTACGTGAAATACATTGCTGACTTGCAGGTTCTGAACTTGATGTACTGATATCTATTCTTTCTGTTGTGATCTGTTCTTTTTTCTGATCGTAGTGACCTAGTTCAGCCTGCTAGGGGATTTTTAAAAATAGTACAACTAGGTCAAAGGTTCATATAATTAATATTGGATTTTGCTGACTCATCGACACAGTTTAAATTATGCTCCAGTGCTACACGTACCCAAAACGTCTAAGCAATAGCCACTCTCTACCTTTGAAAGGACTCGTAGTTCTGTGTCTTAAGTCTGTCACCCACCTGTAGAAGGAAATCTTTGCTGTCATTTGTCAATGTCCACTAGGTCTGACCGTTGCTGGATACCACGGAGAGTTGGGTGAGTCTTGGTGCGTGCTTACAGTCGGGGACAAAGAATTAAATGTTGTTTTTACTTTTGATGCTCTGTGGAAGGGTTCACCTTTCCCACAGTCTACGTAATGAGTTCCATGTTGTGCACAACCCAGCCAATACAATAAACATGAAGAACATGCTACTGTTGGAGCGTGTTTTCAGAAACAATAAATGTTCTTGATCTTGCTTTTAAAGATTTCCAACGAAAAGCTGAGGGCCTAAAGAGAAAGGGAGAGGTCTCGGAGAACTGATTTAAACACATCAAAGAACGGAGAGGATAGAGCTTCTGTTTTCTTTACTTATTAAAACCCCACAAAGTGTATCGTATTCCCTGAACACCTGTACGCTGGTGTGTGATACAGATGGCCTTCCCCCCCTCCCCCCTAGGGCAGTGCTACAGACTGAAGTGTCTTTAGACCATTCCGTAAGTCAAAGGGGGTATATTAACATGTTGTTAAGCACAGTAGAATTTTAAATTGGCTGATTTATCATTGCCACGCTTATATACTTTGCCAGAACAACATAGGGGGAACTGCTGCTTTTTCTTTCCTCATCCTTACGATCGTCATTTTCCTCTACTTCTTTTGTATGTTTGTCACTCTCTTGTAAACTGCTATTTCCAAAGTGCCTTGAATGTCGAAGCAGACTTTGTGCTGTTAAGGCTAAAGAGGTGAGCGAGTAAGCCTGATTTCCCGTTTGGTGTGTGATAAAAATGGCCTTAGTCCGGGTCGCTGTAGTCACGTGGTGAGACTGAGGTGTTTTGAAAGTCTTCATGTCTTTTCTTCTGTCTGGTGAGATCCCTTCAGCGATTAGCGTGAAGTTGAAGGTCCTGCCTCTAAGATAGCCTTATCGTGTTTTATGAGGAGTTTGTTCTGTGCCACACAGCTAGGTAGGACAAAACCGCTCACAGGTTTTCATCATAGAAAGAAGGCGTGGGACGAGAATTGAGACTCAGAGAGTGATGTAGGCTGGAAACACTTTAAGGAATGATATAGGACGAGAAATGAGACTCAAAAAGTCGTTAAAGTTGGGAATACTTAAAGGAATGAAACTGGATGAGACAGGCTGGGAGGAATGTTGTTTCGGTTGGTTTTAAATCTGAAGACTGAGCCTGACATCAGTGTTGAGGATTCTCTGTAAGAACAATTCATCATCTTTTTAGAGTATAACAGTTCCATGTCTCTGCCAGTTTCGAAGCGTTTTTCTATTGTGTCTATCCTCGCTGGTTGTGGGGACGACAAGAGATGTTCGATCTTGATGTGACAATCTTTTCTGTATCCTTAACACTTTGCCTTAGTAAAAACCCTTGCCATCAAATGCAAAGGCATTGTGGGGAAAATCCAAAGAAAGTGGATGGTATACATCGCCGAACGGCGAGATGTGACGGCACAGTGTTAAAAAAGTGATGGGATGCTGGTATAATGAAATCATTGCTTTGTGAGAATGTATGTAGAAAATATTTATGATGAGATTTCTGTGAAATCAGTGTTTTGTTTGTGTCCTTGTTGTTGTATCCGGTTGTTTTTTCTCCTTGTCTTCTTTAGAACTGGCTCACGGAGTAGACTGTGCTGGCCTCACAGATCCTTGTCGATCTGGACTAGCGTGTGTTGCAAACAAGAACTCTGTTAAAAAATGTCTGTGTGGTCCTATAAGTAGATCGTACTGGGATGGACTTTCCTGTAAAAGTGGTAAGTACTAAGGGAACATTTTGTATGTTGGAACGTGTAAATGTAGATGGCTGGCTCCAGCTTGTTTACAGTGAGTCTAAGCTGCCATCCTCCCTTCCCAGACCCCCCCGTCTTTCGCAAATCACTGGAAGCAAATTCTTTCTCTGAAAACAATACTTCTGTGTTACCCTTGACCCTGGCTTGTGGTTTGTCAGACAAGACTAATCCTGTAAGCAAAGTCCTTGAGATAAAGCAAATGTTTTCTGTGCATGTCAAGATTGACTGACAGCTGTTTACGTCACATGCTCTTGGAAATGTCCATAAATACCGTGCATGGTGTATAAATGCTTCTTATCACATTCAGGACTTTGTAACTCTTGTTGACTTGTACGCAGCTGGTGTGTGTGTGTGTGTGTGTGTATGTGTGTGTGTGTGTGTGTGTGTGTGTGTGTGTGTGTGTGTGTGTGTGTGTGTATGTGTGTGTCTAGGCTGTTGGTTCATAAGAACAACGTCAGCTATTTTCACAGACCATATTCCCCGTCTGGCTTTGAGTGTGTTGTTTATTTTCAAAATGTAAGTCCCTCGCTGGCTGGGTGGCTTTACTTTCAGGTGTGAAGAAAGGGAAAATCCTGTACAAAAAATACAGCGGAGATGGCCACTGTGATGTCCTGTGCAATGGGTCTTGATCTATCTATATGTATATTGTTGTGTTGAGTTATACTGATAAAAAACGTGTACTTTTACTTTCTCTATAAAAGGTCTGAAACAAAAAGTTTACAGTTGCAAAAAGAGGAGAGAAGTGTGGGATCATTTTCTGTCAAAGGAAAATTGAATACATGTAAATCACAGGAAAAGTTTTTGTTTGTTAGTGGATTGCTTGTTGAGTTTGCCGGAAAATAGCATAGTTTACCAGAGTTTGTTTCAAGTGAACTCTTCTGTATTTCATATTTTCAAGCTAGAACTATTAGATATTGCACCTCAGACATATGTAATTATATGAATCACTTTTTTCCTTCTGTTTTCCCTACAGTTGGCGATATCACAGTGCTGGCAAGGGTGAACTCAAGGAGCACATCCCGGATAGACTTCAGTTGGACTGTAACCCCCCAAGGATTTGTAAATAACTACCAGGTGGTCACTAATTCTGACCCGCAGACTTGCTCACAAGGACAAGGGCAGTACAAAAAGGATGATGTGTCTGGGACAGCTCTCAGAGTTTCAAGTACAGGGCTCAGACCTGGGGTGAAATATTTGTCCACTCTGGCCCTGGTACTGACCGCGACAAATGACTACCCACAGAGATCAAAAGGATTCAATTTACCTGAAGTCTGGACAAGTAAGTTATTGTTGAGTTTTCTTCTTGAAATAGTGAAGAGTTCTTTGTAATCAAATAGAAAGTATTACTCGATACACAGGAGAAAATGATCCTTGACTTAAAGTAGTCCCAATCTGGGAAAAGGGAATAATGAATGCAACTCAATATGAAACTGTTAAAGAAAGATGAGCTAAACATTTGGATTTGGACTTGTTTTCTTGAATAATTAATTCATGGTGGATGGTTTGTTGCTCTTCTGGTGTGGTTTGCTCCTTCTTTGTATTAAGCATGTAGTCTCCTTATATTTCCGTCTTCTTTTCTCTGTATGCTGTTCTCCAGTAACACCTCTAATCTTCAGTACTTATATGGCATATTTGTTATGCAAGTGCCGTAAAAAGTTTTCTATAACTAACCGATTAATGTAATGTGCTTCTCATTCTTTTTTGTTTTGTGTTCCGCTGGACACAATATAGCTTAATTCCAAGACATTTTGATTAGTCCCTTTTCAGGACAATGAACGGAGAAAAATTTCAAATTCTTGTAACCCCCAGAGCAGTGCTACTGATTGAAGTGTCTTTAGGCCATTCCCAAAGGGGGGATAATAACGGGCTGCCTTGATAGTAGAAGCACATTAAATTTTTGTGCTGTTGAGGCTAGAGAGGTAAGCAGAGTAAGCCTGATTCCCTGTTTGGACTTCTTTGTTGACATTCACCCCTTGGCGCTCATATGACCTTATGCAGTTGCGAGCGCCGTAAAACCTTACTAAGTGGGTGGTTGGCGGGTGCTCTGGTGTGGTTTGCTTCTTCTTTCCTATCAAACGCCTATTGTCTTTATCTCCCCTCCTTCTTTTTTGTGTTTGTTACTCTCTTGTAACACCTTTAGTCTTTGGCTCTTATATGACCTTATTGTGTTGCAAGTGCCGTAAAACACTTATTTAAACTAAAAACCTTACTGATATTAAAATACACAACATGATAACAGAGAAGGATTGGGACACGGGGGGGGGGGGGGGGGGTGCGCTGAACATACCTGGCATGGAGTAAAACTGCTTGGACCGTACTTTCAAGAAAACCCGAAGAAGAAAAAGGAACATACTTCATATTGTTGCTCTATTGCCATCATTTAAGGCGTTGTCAAAGATGTTTGGGGCAGTGCTGCCTAGTCTTAGATTTCTGAAGCATTTTTCAATGTCTAGTTTACAGTACATTAAAATGCAGATGTCGTTAGTTCCCCAGACCATCAATGATTTATTTATAGAGGCACCAGCCATCCATGTCCAGGTGCTGTTTTTCGTTAGTTCCCCTTGATGTAAAAGAAATACACATTTTATGGATCTCAAATTCAATTTCTTTGAGTGGACTTCCACTGCACTTAGCTTCAGATGTTTGTGATATTTCATTGAGGAAAAAAAACCATTGCAAGATTGTAATACAAAAAAGAAAAAGAATCGCATTTGTATGGCACAAATTCCTGCTCAATAGCTAGCTCTAAGCTCTTTACAATCTTTCTAGGGAGTCCCGATGTCATTTTAAAACAATGTCAACTTCCAGTTGGTTGTAGAGTGCTTCATGTATACATGTGGACATCTGGGCTGTGTTAGTTGTGACAGTACTTTTAATGTATTCATGTGGTAGTTGGGGAAGTACTTTATGTATTCATGTGGTAGTAGGGACAGTACTTTATGTATTCATGTGGTAGTAGGGACAGTACTTTATGTATACATGTGGACATCTGGGCTGTGGTAGTTGGGACAGTACTTTATGTATACATGTGGACATCTGGGCTGTGGTAGTTGGGACAGTACTTTATGTATACATGTTTACATCTGGGCTGTGGTAGTTGGGACAGAGAGATTTTTATGTGGGTACCAAGCACTAGTATTCCATGGTGTCCAAAACACGTCAAGTCTCAGTGCTCTCTGGTAAACACAACTCTCATGGGGAAGATATTGGTGAGGATAAAGTTGGGGGAAATGAAGACTGAGAAAAGTTGTCTTAACACCCCTTGATGATTTTCTAGTCTGTCGTGTTTTGAACAGAAGTCAGAAATGTTCACAATGCTGTTGCTGTAGTATGTCGTGTGTGACACAGGTAACATTTTGTTCTGTGGTACGTGTAAATGGCAGTCGTGTTGTCTTGACACCTCGTGACGTGTCTGTTTCCAGAGCCTGCCCAGCCTGGAGCAGTGATACCTGGAAGTAGTACCCTCTCAGTGCCGCGTACTGTCCTCACGTTTGGACCTTCGGGTGGCTGTGTCGCTAGTTATTTGGTGACAGTGACAGGGCAAGGGTCATTACGTCGAAGCAAGAGAGTGACTACTAACACAGCGGTCTTTGAGAATCTGGTCGCAGATACTTTCTATAGCTATCTCATTACAGCCTACAATGGTGGAAATTATGCCAGTGTCTCAACGACTGGATCTTTTACAACAGCAGCTGCAGGTATGACATGTTGTTTTTGTGTATTTTTGTTATGTTTGTCGAGACACAAAAAAGGCCAAGATTTTCTAGTTTCTGAAACAATCTCGTCTGATGTTACTCCTTGGGGTGGACACTTACTGTCATAGACACCTCCTAATGGAGAATTCTAAAAGATAGGGAAGTGAATTGCCTTTCCGGTAAAACCGTTTGTACTGCTGTGTGTTTGGAACTACCTTACCTTTTCCAGAAAGCTTCAATCACACCCAACTAAAGAGCGAAATGCTCAAGAAAATTATAAAAACCCCAAATATATATGTATATATATATATATGTATATATATATATATATATATATATATATATATATATATATATATATATATATATATATATATATATATATGCATGATATAGAAATATATATTTATATATTCAAGTGAAAAAGTCAGTTTTGAAAGTTATCACCACACGCCATGTGATGGGTTTTCTCAGAGCCACATGCAGATAGAAGATAGAGTGAGTTGAGCTTTGTGCAAAAAATGCTTACATTTTTATTTCATTTAGTAAATCACATTTCTGATAGAGTTGTTAAATGTGTTTTATCTTTGTACTGAAAGACTTCTATTTTCTTCTTTCATCCTTCGTAAATGCACTTGACCACACAACACCCCCCTCCTCCCCTATGTTCTTTGTTTTACTTTTCTCTATTCAAGTGAAATACTGAGATAATATAATCGAAACTACTTTAACGTCCACCTGTATAAGACAATCACCTGTACAAACGGTCACCTGTATAAGACAATCACCTGTACAAACGGCCACATGTATAAGACAATCACCTGTACAAACGGCCACCCGTATAAGACAATCACCTGTACAAACGGTCACCTGTATAAGACAATCACCTGTACAAATGACCACCTGTATAAGACATCCACCTGTACAAACAATCACCTGTATAAGACAACTACCTGTACAAACGGCCACCCGTATAAGACAATCACCTGTACAAACAATCACCCGTATAAGACAATCACCTGTACAAACGACCACCTGTATAAGACAACCACCTGTACAAATGACCACCTGTATAAGACAATCACCTGTACAAACCTCCTCTTTTCCCACCCACCCACAACCCCATTGTTTTTTCGTGTTTTTTGTCAGTACAACGACACATTGTAAAACATCCACCTGTCTCAGACAACCATTTTTCTCCGTACAATGGGTGGCCGTCTTAGACAATCTCCACTGTAATCTTTGTAGCTAGAAGAAGCACAAAAAGAATGTATTCAAAAGCGTATTCACAGCATGCTTTAAGCTGTCTTACCTTTGTCTTGTGCACAGCACCAGGTCGTGTGTATGATTTCCGCCGTTCTTCAGTCACTGCTACTGGCGTTGTGGTGAGCTGGCGAAGGCCGTCACAACCTAAAGGCGATCTAAAAGGATACAAAGTTTGGGTGACAACAGACGGGAAGTGCGTTAAACAATTCCATGTACAATGTCTGGACTGTAGTGTGAGTCTGATGGTTTTGATTCTTACAATACATTACTTTAAGTTTATTTTGTGTGTGTCTGTGTTCGTGTTTATGTAGAGTTTTTCTTTTGAGGCTCATGTTAGAGAAATAATACTCAAACCTTAAGAGTACAACTGTATTTCTTTTAGAATTTTGAAAGTGTGCTCCACTGGGTATCTTTGAATCTCTTCCATAAATTTTAGTTTTTGGGGAGGGGGGAGGGGGGAGGGGATGAGGGGCAGGACTTTAAATGTAATAAATGCTTCGTGTGTTTTTCTGTTGGACTTGAAAACTTTTGCTCAAATATTGATCAAGCATCCATTCGCTCATGTTCTATAGGACGTAGTTGGCGGATGCTCTGGTGCGGTTTGCTCCCTTTTTCCTTTTAGACATCTATTGTCCATATCTCTCATTCCTCCTTTTTGTGTAATTATGTTACTCTCTTGTAACACATCTATTCTTCTGCACTCGTATGACCTTATTGTGTTTGCAAGTGCCGTAAAACTCTAAGGAAAACTACACTATGCCGATGTTCTGTGAGTAGATAGTAAGGTTCTGCTTGTATTGCTATGAGGCTTACTATAGACCACTTTCCCACAACAGCTTTGTCACCAGTGTACTAGCTTGTCTATGTGATTATCTGGCTGGGGAAATCCAACACTTCTGGTGTATAGTATACAATGGAACCTGTTCAAGACGGAATCACAAGGAA